GGAGCTAGCGCCGACAGCTGGAACAAAGGTGCGAGAGCTCCCATTCACTCTTAAGAGGAATTTTGTTTTGCTCCACTGTAATGTACTTGCTTAGGTCCTGTTTTCTAATGTACACGTATTCCCTTAACATTCCAACTAGATTGGGTTCTATATATATTTAGAAATTTTGAAATACTCTCTTTTATAAAAATTTTCAAACCTCATCACAGTGATTATAGTGGATATAAAGTAGTTCTCTTGTTCCTACCCTATTCTTAGTATTCTCGTTGGCTTCACAAATTCATAATCTTCATGTAAACAATGTTTTTAATACAAGACACATACATCACAATATATAAACATATATACCTAATTTCAAATCTTATAGATGAAGATACACAGATATTTAACTACACACATATTCACACATCAAATACACATACATAACAAAGAAAAGATTACTTCTATTATTATAGAAATATTTTAAGAATAAAATCATGTGTCTAATTTAAATATCACAAAATGTATTTTAGCAGTATGAGATATATGTGTGACGTAAGCACTATAGTTTCCTTCAAAGCCAATGTTATAATCAGAATTCTTTGCAATAAAATTTTATCTATGCAGGCGTTTTCTATTATTGTCTTTTAAGACCTAATCTAGTCCATGCCATTGTAGTCTGCTTTTAACATTTTACTCTATGGATATAAGAATCATATATTACTAATAATAGTTCATTATACAACACTTAACAGCAAGTTCTTAGCACTTAAATACCTAAAAGACCTCAAGAGAATAATTTCTCTGAATGCCATTCAGCTAACGACTACTGTGAACATATTTCTAGGTGCACTCATTGGGTTAATTTGCTCATTGCAATAAATGAGACTGCACATCATAGGGAATCATGTGGGGGCCTCAGTATGAGGGTATTGGAGTCAACTTATTTAAGATACTACTTTTGGTTGATTTGAATGAGGATCAATGAAGTAATGATTTTTGCCTGATTGAGTGGTGTTATAAATGGAGCACTGAATTTTGGAGGCAAGATGCATGAAACAGTGTTAAAGCTGTAAAGAAACAATAAACCAAAAACCAAACAACACTCATTGTCATTGAGTCAATTTGCCTCATAGAGAAACTTCCTTGGATTTCTGAGGTGGTATAACTGCAAAAGGAGATTGCTCAATCTTCCATACGAGGAGTGGCTGGTGGATTTGAACCACCAGACTTCTGAATCACCCATATTATCTGGGAGAATATACTGTTCATTTCATACGTTTGGGCAATTTTGTTATTTTTATCTATGATCAGGTATGTCTCTGGAGTGGTCTTTTTTCTACCTCACTTCATTTTGGTAACCTTTCCTGATGATCATTTTCTGTTTTGTTTTTTTTTCTTTTCTTTTCTTTTCTTTTTTTTTTTAAGAATCAAGATGAGAATCCAATAGCCTATTTGATTGAGCCAGGCCAGTTCAGCTGACAAATATGAGAGTCTGCTCCCCCCACCCCTCACCTTTTTGCAAATGTTAAAGCTCTTAGACTTCCATCTGCGTTATGTTCTCTTCCTTGTCAAGGAAAACTACATGGAAGTCAATTCAACAATACAAGTTAATGCCTTTACAGAGACTTAATTTTATAACCCCACCTGAATGTGTTCTTTTTACTGAAATAATGTGCTTATAAACACGGTCTGATATACTAAAACTATTATTTGAAATATTCAAATGCATTTTTATCCAGCTTTATTGAATGATTTTAAATACTATCAATTTTAAAAGGAACTTTATTGGAACTTATGCTTTTCAAAGCATGTTTCACTGTGGCTCACACATTATTCTGCTCATTATTACACTGAACATTGCATTTTACATATATACATAAAGAAATATCACATCAATATACTTTGGAATGTCTTAAACTACTTTATAACAAATCTATTACTGTATGGCATATACTTCACACAACATAAGAAATCATATCTACTTGTTTAGATTATTTATGTGTATATTATCTATATCAGACTAGACTATGAAGTTGAAATTTTATCTTCTCTATATTTACTTACACTGTACTTACAGCCCTAGCAGTGTCAACATCCACATTGAATATGAAT